AGAGAGAGAGAGAGAGAGAGAAAGAGAGAATATTTCAGGGTCAAATGAACCAGGGAATCATCTTTTACTGGATGTACCTTAAGTGATCTATATCTGAGGTTAAACAATTTACCATTGTCTTTAATTCTTAGGCAAGGTTTTGTACGATTTATTAGAGATGATGTGTGGAAGACAACAGAACATACATGGGGAGACAGATTATGACACTAATCAAAGAGAGAATAATATTTTCTATTGTAATCCTGGTACGAATACTTTTTCTGCTTTGGGAGGGGGGGGGGGGTATTTCAGTTTTCTTAAGAATGACTCGGCATAGGCTGTCAAGTTGTAACTGGGATAGTTATGACTATTGGAGGATTTCCACAACCATTTTCCCGGAAAGCTTGTTATGGTTACTTGAGTCCCTAATTTTAAGATCTTTTACTTTAAATTAACTCTCTGACAAGTTTTCTTCAAGCTATATTTTTTGTTTCACTTGTAAAATCTTATACGCAAGTGTTTCGTCATTTTTTCATAATTGCCTACGTATGTCATGGGAGCTAAACACTTGCATTGGATGAATTAAAATGTTTAACACTTCTAGATGGACCAACTTCATAATCCATGCTTCGGTACAGAAAGATCAATTTTCTAGCTGAATCTGGTCTGCATGTTTAATCTTTTCGTGTGGATTTAGCAAGAACAATGGAAACAATTCCAATGGATGGGTACTGGTTCAGCCTGTGGCTCCACTTCCTCCTTAAATGCACTCTGCCCTACCCTACCCTACCCACTGTTTTGGTCGAATCCTCTTTTGTCAGTGTTGCCATGAGCCTTGACTTGTTCTGAAATGTAGCTGATATCTGAGTGGCTTTTGTCCTATGCTTTCACATTCAACTTCTGGTACCCAGCTTGGTATTGAAGCTGGGATTATCTATTTCGATAGATGGTTCATTTGGAGATTAGTAAAGAAAGAACACTGCTATCTGCTAATAAAAACTATGGGAACAAAAAAATCCAGAGTCATTAGTTGGAAAAATAGAACAAGAAAATGCCTTATTTTCTTTGATCAGTCATTAGTTAAAAATACCTAATTTTCGTATTATTGATGAACTGTTATTCTTAGTGTAGAGTTCTAAAATTTGAGGGGGATGTTTAGTGTTTTATACCTGATTGGAAATGTAGTGGCCCTTTTAGTGAGTTATGCTCAACAGCTCAAGGTCAAAAGTGATCTTAAATGTTATTAATAAGTAAATTTAACAAAGGCCTACTAATGTTCAGTGTCACAAGTTATGTGAAAAAATGATAGATCATTATCATGAAAAAACTTGAAAAGTTTTTAGGTACCATTCTTAAAAATAAAAATAAAAATAAAAATTGAAATTGAAAAGTAAAGTTGAGGTCATGCAGTTTGTGGATGCTGAAATAGTGGTGAAAGACAAATAAGATGGCAGCTTTATAAAGAATTGGGAACATATCCACGGCATTGAAAATTGTCAACTTCTTGGATAAATCCCTTGGGCATATTATTTAGTGAATAGTTGTGAAATACTATTGAATTGTCAATACCAGCATAATTACGATATATTGATTTTTATATATGTGCTCTGCTAAATATTGAAATTCTGTTGTGTTGCAGGTGGTGGTTTTAAGAACGTTCTTGTAATAGGGGCTGATGCTCTATCTCGCTATGTTGACTGGACAGATAGGGGGACCTGTATTCTCTTTGGTGATGCTGCTGGTGCTGTAGTGATGCAGGTATGATAAAGGAGAATGGACGAATCAATCAGTAATACGTTATTTAGTTATTGCAGTTTTTCCAATGAATCCTAAAGATTCTTTACAATAAGTCAAAAGAGGGATTAGTCAGCTTAACTGGTTTAAGTACCTCTAGATTCTTCTGTACTCTTCTTGAATTCTAAATTGATGGAAGTTCGTAAGGTCCTTCATTTCTCCGTCAGGGTTGGGGTTGGGTTGGTGATGTTCACTGGATATGTATAATCAGCCTCATCAGCTTTTTGGCCAAAGTATATGAAGTTTGAAGGATGATTTATGCAAATAGCCACTTTTGTGGCCTTTTATTTNAAAAAAAAAAAAAAATAGATGCCCATTACACTATTGATTGATGAGTGCTTTTCCTCAGTGAAGAAGTGTGACCTTGTATCTTCTTCTTGTTTAACCCAAATTTTTGAGGCCTTGTTTCTTATTTTATTGATGTGATCAAGTTATTGTGTGCAACACTAAGTTGCTACATCCGTTTCTCAAAATTTATATAAATCCATACTCTTGTAGGCCTGTGATATTGGAGAAGATGGCTTATTTGGTTTTGACTTGCATAGTGATGGTGAAGGTCAAAGGTATTTATCATAATCTTTAGGAGAAGTTCCCCTGCTTTCATCTTTAAAGGGTCACTAAATGATTGTTTTCTTATTTAGGCACTTGAATGCTTCAATCAAAGAGAAAGAAACTGATCATGCATTTGGTACAAATGGATCTATTATTGGTTTTCCACCAAAAGGTTCCTCTTACTCTTGCATCCAGATGAATGGTAAAGAGGTCTTTAGATTTGCTGTTCGTGTTGTGCCACAATCAATTGAAGCAGCTTTGGAGAACGCAGGTCTTCCTGGGTCCAAAATTGATTGGCTGCTTCTCCACCAGGTATAACTTTCTGGGATAGATAACTCAACTGAGTCAGTCATACCTAAATGGCTAAATATGGAATGATGACATTCTTTAGAAGCAATTATGTTTTAGACTGAATGAATATACATTTTTGAACGACTGGTGACAAAATGATTGATACTTGTGATTGCCCTCCTGTCCTCTAGTTTTTAATTTTATGTTACTATCCTTGATATGCTAATAGACCAGATCATGTTTGTAGGGGGCCAGGGGTAGTTGTTAAAAGGAGGAAATTCTGACAGTTCAGCAAAGAATTAACCCTAAAAGTAGCAGAATAATAGAATCAGTAAACTTGAAATATAAATTTTTGTTCTCAGGGATGAAACATTTTAAAAAATACAAATCTTGACCTACAACTTCTTACTATTAAGCACGTCATGCTTAGTGCTCCTATTATTACATTGGATTCATTTTGTGCGTACTAAACCTAAAACATGTCCAAAAGTGTATGTGGCTAAGGGGCCCCCAGGGCCTAGCTCAAGTGGCAAAGGGTGATGGATTTGTGTCTTAGGTCACAGGTTCAAGCCCCCACACCATGCAAAGCAAAGCCTGGTATTTAAGTGGAGAAGGGTAGAGGGGCGGGCCCATTATCCACCGAGTTTCGAAGGCTGCGGTTGGTCCAAAGGATCGGCCTCAGACGGATTTCTCGGTCATCAAAAAAAAAAAAGTGTATGTGGCTAAGGGATCAACCTTTGCTTATATTATCACATAAATTCAGCTCTACTATTACTCTATACCCTGTCAAATAAGTACATGAGATTGGGGCTAGAGTTATTTTACTAAGCTACTGGATGCGTATTAACTGCCTGAGAAATGCAGGACAAAATAACAAGTATACATACCACAAATGAGTATTTTGATTGAAGAAGAAAGAAGTAAATAGTTGAGAAAAGAACAAAACAAAAAGTGAGAAAGAAAAGAATAAGCTGCTTGCTGACAAAGCTGTAAACTCTCATATTTCAGTAAAAGCACAATATGGTTATTTCCAGATTGCTTTATTAGCTTGAGCCTTGATTAATCTTTTATGATGCACAATATTCTCATTATCCAATTGCTTTATTGGCGTGTTTGTATTGTTTGACTGATAAAGAAACTCATTTCATGTTCAAGATAATATAGGTAATCTCCAAGCATGTTCATTCCAGCAATTATTTTAAAATGATTTTCTTACAATTTTATGATAGAAATACAACTTGAGATAATTCACTGAAAGTGTCTTAGTGCTCCTTTTTGAATTATCATCCTGCACCACTTAATAAATACTCTCTGGGTATCACATTAATATAAGCAACTTATTGTGAATGGCTACATGCAGGCAAACCAAAGGATTATTGATGGAGTAGCAACGCGTTTGGAGGTGCCATCAGAACGTGTCATATCAAATTTAGCAAATTATGGCAATACAAGTGCTGCATCGATCCCTTTGGCACTTGATGAAGCTGTTCGAAGTGGGAAAGTGCAGGCAGGCCATGTCATTGCTGCTGCTGGATTTGGGGCTGGCCTTACGTGGGGTTCTGCTATACTCAGATGGGGGTGAATGCTGCTACAGAGTTTGGCGCCGGCCTCACATCTGGATTCTGCAGAAATTAAATAGGGACGGAACTTCTCAACATATGAATAGAGCTCAAACATAGATGGAAAGAAGAAATGATAAGGTTGCATTTCCCTTCTGCTTTTTGTTCAGTTGTAGCTGATTTGGAGGCTTCAATGGCGGAATCCCTTTTGATCTCCCGTCATCTCTCAATTTTCTGATGTATTTATTTTTCCTAACACCAATAATTATCAACATTTTGCTCCATTTGAAGTTACTATTTTTGAAGTGCATGTTTTTGCAGATTTTGGCTACAATTTCTGCTTATTCCAGGCTTTGTCTTTTCCAGTTTGTTGACATTCAGATTGGATTTGAGAAGCGTATTTGCACTAGATTCATGATATAATGGGCTGTTTCATCTTTTGACTGGTGCTAAGCAAAATACTCATCACACTGCAAATTTTAATGTGCTTCAAATTCGAAGTAAATCGTTACGCTTGACGTAATAAAGAGATGGTAATATGGAACAAGCATTAAGAATACTAAGACATGATTTATATGACCTTTTAGGATTAAATCCCTCCTAAGTTTTTCAGAAGTGAGATGGTAGGTTATGTATTTGTAATTTCAAACTTTGAACAGCCAGATTGTTAGAGAGAAAAAAAAGGAGATGAGACATATAGTTTGGTGTCACCTTTTAGAATAAACTCAAAGAACACATTTTGATACATTGAACATGCTTTTCATAAAACCAGAAGCAATTTCTCGCTCTGAATTTCAAATAAAGGAGATATAGGCTGCGTTTGACAACAGATAATAAGTTATTTTTTATGTTTGATTTTCATAAAGAAATATTTTCACAAAAGAGGGAAAATGGCTTTCCATGTGAAAGGAATAGCCTGTTTGGCCAAGCTTCTCCAAGTTGAGAAGCATTTTTTTCCCCACAAAAAGTGTTTTTTTTTCCAAAGTTGAAGTGTTTGGCCAAACTTTTAAAAAAAAGTGCTTTTGAGTAGAAGCAAAAGCAGTTTTGGAGAATCAGAAAAAAATAGCTTCTTCCCAGAAGCACTTTTGAGAAAAATACACTTAGAAGCACTTTCTAAAAGCTTGCCAAACACAAATTGTCGTTTGGAAGTGCTTTTCAAATTAATTAGCCAAACACAAACTATTTTTCATCAAAAGTACTTTTGAAAAAAGTATTTCTCAAAATAAGCTAATTTTTCCAGCTTGGCCAAACAGGCTAGAAGTCATTTTCCTATCTCAACTATTTAAACTTTGAATCACTGCTTTAATCAAAGCTTAGAGATTATTATCAATCTATATATTCAAAAATATCACAAACCCATTTGGTAATATTAATTATCAATTTTTCGATAATTGTTTTTGAAAAAAATATCTGTCAGTATTCAATTTAATACCAAAAAGCATTATAAAAAAATATATTTCTGAAAATAAATTATGTTTCGAGAAAACAAGTTCCATCACACCAAACATACCCTATATGAATTCTCTGTATCCATGTTCCAAAAAATTTATGTAGAAAATGATCAATATAATCTAATGTGTGTGTGTATATATATATATATATATATA